TTTTTTTAAACCAGAGAGAGTCCAAGAAACACGAGTCATATTCTTACCTTGACTTGACAGGTCAGCAGATTTAACTTGACCGGCTCTTTGCTCTCCTGTGCACAGAGAAGAAAATAACGTACGGGTGTTTTAGTGTTAGTTTAGTTTAGTTTTAGTAAGAGTTTTACGGCACTTGCAACACAATAAGGTCATATAAGTGCCGAAGATTAGAGGTGTTACAAGAGAGTAACAAGCATAAAAAAGAAGGAGGAGAGATCTGGATGATAGATGTTTGACAGGAAAGAAGGAGCAAACCACACCAGAGCATCCGCCAACCACCCACAAAGAAAAGAAATAGGACCTGCCAACAGTGGGCAACCTCTTTTTTAAAAACTGCTTCCCATAAAACACAGAAGTCCCAACGCCCCCCCCTCCCCTCCCACCATCCATCAACACAAATTAGATCAGCAACACCCTCCAACCACCCACACAGACAGAAACTACAAAGAGAAAGAAAAGAAGTAGAACCTACCAACAGCTTAAACTATTTCCCATAAAACATAGATGTCTTGATTTTGAGCCGAATTTTGATTTTGGGGGTGTACCCCCCCCCCCCCCCCACAACAGGTCTAAAAAAAAAGCTTGTTGGGTGCAAATTTGCTTAAAAGGTTTAGTGAAAAAATAGAGAAAAAAAGAAGGGTAAAACAACAACAGATACAACATCTGGTGGACCAAGAATTAGTTGTCAAAATAGGAAGCATTTAATAAGGTGTGCCAATTTGACAGCAACGTTGAAAAGGGAAGCAAAGTTTTGACATTATGATCAGTCTCTGTGGCAATGCGAGGGAGTTTTGACTATACAAAGTTTTTTCTTTAATACAAAGTTGTTTAGGTAGACTTACCTATCCATGAGATTCTCATCATTTATCAGCAGGCAGTCAAAGATGTACAGGCACACTTGAGCATCTTGAAAAGCTGCTTTCTGAAACAAATCATGAGAGGAGGAAACAGAATAATGACTGTTCTGATCCTCACCTACTTCATACTCCATTCAAAAATATTTGTTTAACAATAGAGAAAAAAAATTTGGTAAAACTTATCTCTGTTAGCCCTGCAATGATATTATTCCCAGAATGAAAAAAAATTGTATAAGGAAAAAACAAACATGATCTAGCAGCCCAGAAAAGACTGTTCTTCAAGGAACAGAGGAGGGGAGAAGAGAGAGAGAGGCATACAACAGAAACTGTGGTGAAAAAACATCACTGAGTAGACAAGGAAACCCCCCTTTTCAGTCCATTCCCTGAACTATCTGTCAATCACCTCTCCCCCACCTTTCCCCAGAAGTCCCATCTCTGAACTGTCTCCTAACCACACTCCTCCCCC